CTAAAAACCAACTTGACCCGTAACATATACAGCTTAAATTGTAAAGCACCCTGAATATTTTAGTCCAGCTGTACGATATATGATTAAATTAGTTTTATAATGTGCCGATAAAAGGTTATGTCGGCGTCATTAATCCAAATGTAAGTAACTGACATATGAGTGTCGCTAAAAGAAAACCCTAAAATTTAAATGACTTATATTTAAATTTCGGGATTTCTTTTAGCAACACTCATATACGTACTATATTAATATATGCCAAACTTTCATAGCGTTGGTGCAATCATCATGTGTCAATATACGATTAAAGTCATAATTTAAGTTAAATTGTAATTTTCAACCCTATTTGTATTTTAATGACAATAAGATCAATCCTAAAGCTGGCGTTAATATTTTATATTGGAAGTTATAATAATCATAGCTTACGTACAATGAATCTACGTTTCAGTAGTACGTACCCAAGTTATCCAAACCCAATTAAAATAGCGCTTTAATGCTTGTATTACGTATAGCGTCATACAGTCAACCATCCATGCACCCCTTGGGACTGTAAAGTTTTTAAATGTGTATTTAGGGAGGATGTGCATTTATGGAAAACATTTTTTAAGTGTTCTATATGCTTGGGATCGAAGATTAGTGTGCATTTAGAGAGGGTATACATATTGCGTGCATTTATAGAGGATGCATTTATGGAGGGTTGATTGTATAATTGTAATTAACTTCTCTGTAACGCATTAAATCATTATAGTTATGTTCGATGAATTTTGCAAATTATAATCAATATCATACATCTGAGGTTTGTTGTCAGGCAAAGCTGGACAAGCGGAAATAAGGAGATTAATAATTACATTAAAGAACTTCAACTTAAAGCCATAGAATATAAGAATGCGATCTAACGGATCCCTTTTGACAATCAAGGTTAATTTTAAGTTTAAAAGGATTCTTAAATTCTAAAATTAAATATGATATTTAAAATTAATCTATTATACTTAAGGTTTAAATTTTATTTTTATTTTTTTAGTAAATTTTTTTATATTTTTAAAAAATTGTTTTACCCAATTATACGTATACAATATTAAAGTCAATTAATTATTTCTTATAACCAAACTAGATCGACTTTTGTACAAAAGTTTATATTAAGTGTATACGTATTTAATATTAATATTTCTGAATAAAATTTTTTTATAAAATATATATATTAATATTTTTTAACCAAAAATAAAAAATTTTTATAATTAAAAATTAAAAACCAAGATAATCACTTTTATTAAAATTTTATGTAAAACAATATTGTATTGAATTTTATATGACCAAAAATTGCTACGTACTTAAAGAACATAATAAAAAATTGGTTAAATTTGGAATTTTATCGAATATTAAACAACACATACGTATTTAAAGTTATATTTATTTACTGTATATATGTATAATTTTTTAAATCAAGTTTAAAATTCTTTTTTTTTTTACATATAACAACCAGTTATTGTATATATATAACTATATATATATACTTTACGTATATAAATACTGTATACGTATATATATATATATCTGATTTTAAAAAAAATAGAACAAGCACCGATAAATGATTTTTATACACCATATCGATATGCCACACAAGTCATACGTGTTGTCTGGTGATTCTAACTTTAGACAATACAAGTGTGGATATGATTTTTTCTATAGAAGTTACGTAGATATATAAACTAGTACTACGTAATATCTTAACGTTAATTGAACAAATTGTAATTTGTCGATCTATAACCGTCCAGGAACTTGGCAAAAACGCCTGGCCTAAATGTGCCATATACGTACATCAAATTCTTTGGCATGCTTAACAATCATTGTACGGTTGGTTTATTGAAATACTATATAAGAAAATACAAGCCTAGAAATATATATATAGAAAAAAGATTCGACTTAGTGTTTAAACCTAGTTTTTTAAAGTAAAGATCTCGGTTAGAATTTCGATCTATGGTTAAATATGATCGTTATACGTAAGATAGTTTCCGGTATTTTTCGATTTTTGGATTTGCATGCAAAAAAAAAAAAAAAAAAATCCAATCCTTTATGCCAATCAACCGTTTGTGCATTCCTTATTAGGGGTTTGTATGATTTAAGTGCATGTAATGGTAAGTACTGCGCGTCATATGTATGGACAGCCCCCAAATCATATGAATCATATGGTGAAAAAAAAAGAAACGGATAAGATTTTTTTTTTATGTATGCAATTCCTAACATACGGGGTGTAACCCTCGTGAAGGGATGCAAAAGTTACGTACGGCAGACATACTTTGTGAGATAAATGTAACGTTAAACAGAAAACTTATTGCATATCAGATATTACACATACATACGTATAGATACACAGATATATATTTTTTTTATTTGACAGTTAGCCGCCGACGAATGATAGAAAAAGATATTTATTTTAATAAATGCGTGCGTATGAGATTAAATATTAATCTCATTTGTGAGATTGAAAAAAATCAATCATGGAAAAATTTAATATTGTCAAGAAAGAAGTATGACTCTTCAAAGGAGTAACCTAGCCATTGTGCACACTGTCAATTTGTATATTGGAGAGATTCAAGGCAATGTGACGATTATAGAAATTAGGCTCGAGATTAATACCAAGTATACTTATTAAGCATGGCTTTTAATAAAGATTTATTTAGATTTTATTAAAGTGGTAAATCATTTGTTCAAATCAGGTTTAAAAATTGCTAACCTTAATATTTAAAGGTAACAATATATGCGTTCGGATTTATTTCCGAGGTGAATTCTTAATTCTCATTTCAGCACTTTCGACAACATTATTCGGCAACACTTTCGATTGCGCTTCAAGGTTATTGTCGTTAAAAAAAAGGAAATATTTCACGTTTAACTATTTTAAGTTCACTAAAAAGAATTCTTCAAATATTAGAGTTTATATTAATAAAAGTACTGTTTTTTTCCTTAATGATCTCGGAAACATCATTGTCCGTCAGATACTGCACCAACATCGCCAGATGATTTGTTAAAATCTTATCATTATTTGTTATGCACCGAGTGTCCCAATATTTTAATGCATGAGATGTACAAGTTTTCGAACTCGAATGTATATAATATAACAAAAATACAGATTCTTTTACAAAACTTGATATGTACCTGTTTTTAAACATATAAATAATGTTCATCTGATACGTATCTATTTTGTATGTATCAATATCGGTTATATGTGTTCATTGAATTCCATAAATAGTAATTTCCAATTTGTCGTCCAAATTGTAATATCGGTGCCGATACCACTACATTCGCTAGTGTTAAATAATTAATAATAATATTATTATTAATAATTAGTAATGTAAATAGCATGCCGCAGATTATAAAAAAAAAAATTTCTTTTTTTTTTTTACTGATAAAAATATTTCGGGTAATTAATTATTCATTTACACTAAATTGATTAGTTTCAGATTATATTAATTGAATTAACCTTATTGCTCTTAAACTATAACGATAATGGTTTTCTTGCACGCACTAACTATTTCCAAGAATTTTAAGGATTCATTCTTTTTCGTAAGTCGTTTCCTTTAAAGATCTTGATGTTTGTTTGCTTATTTAAATTGACACTTCCTCCTTAGTACAATTTACGTTCTTTAAAAAGACAACACACAGGACACTTAATAGGATTTCTGTACACCTGTGCGTCAAGATCATCACTAATCCGTAATTGAAATATATACAGTTCTTGTGATTTGATTTTCAATATATTCAAAATCGGCTCCCATCCAAATCAAGAATCGTACAGCCGACGTGGAAGCACAATCATATTGGTGATTTATATTATCAAAAATAAAAGTTTCTATTACCAATTTGATTCAAATATAGCGCCACGCCTTACTCAATTTGATATACCCTCATCGGAAATTTTTATCTAACCCTTGTTACGAATAGTGTACAATTTACTTTTTCTTTCCTAACAACTTTTAAACCGGTCACCCTTCTTTTTTTACGGTTGACGTTTCGTTTAAATTTAATTTATATTTTTTATTTTATAATTTTCTGTTGTTATTCTTCGAAGTCGGGCTGGAACCCTATATAAAAAAAAAAAAAAAAAAAAAAATTTTTTGTATAAAATTATTCAAGTTCCCAATATATTATTAAATTGCCAATTCTGTTCCGCCGAAAAAAAAAAAATTTATTTATATATTTATTATATAATAATAAATTTAAGAAACATTACATTACATTTAGGAAGGATTTTAACATAAAATCCATACGTAAAACGAAACATCAACGCTTATTTCTTTATCTTTGCTCGCTGGATTGCTAATATATATATATTATATATATATAAAGAAGAAACAAGCATCCATTGTCCATTGTTTAATTCCATTAATTTTATTATACGTTGATAAAAAGAATTTTGTAAACTGTTTTTTTCTTTTTCTGTTGTAAACTATAATAATGGCATCGGCCGGTGCAAGTTCTGAAAAGACTTCGGTACAAGTAGGTTCGTAGTAATATGATTATATGATTATAATCCAAAAAAGAGAAAATTTTATTAAGATAAAAAAACTAGTTAGAAAAAAAAAAAAAGTTTAAAAGTTTAAATGCTAAATTTCAAAAAGATATGATTCAAGAATAAGACTTTATATGATCATCAACAATCGTAATAATGACAATAAGAACAATAATAATATTTGCTAAACTAGATGATCCAACTTTATTATCGATTATATCATTAGCAAATAAAAATAATTTCGGCATAACATTTTATCACTTATTCACCTATTCATCTACTTGCATCTATTTTTTTCATCACTAATTATAATTCTTGCATCAATAGCCTTACGAATAAAACCGTTAACCGATGAAGATCTAGCAACATTACCAACAAGATTTCAACGACAAGTCTTATCTACTTCACCAAATACTCCAAATCAAGTTGTTGTATCCGGAGAAAAGAAACAATTTTTTACTTTTGATCATGTATTTGGTCCAGAATCTTCACAGAATGATATTTACGACAAAGCTGTGTTAAAATTGATTGATAAATTTGTAGAAGGTATGTAAAATATTTAAGATATGTAATGTTTAAAAAAAAAATTTTTTTTTTTTTTTTTTCTGGAATATATGTAATTCATATAATCTAGGAAATGTTTATCGTGTATACTCATTAATGATATAATACATTATCATTTTATTTATAATTTCACACAGGATATAATGTAACAATCTTAGCATATGGTCAAACTTCTTCAGGAAAAACTTATACAATGGGCACATCAGAATCAACCGCAATCCCTGTTGATCAAAAAGGAATAATTCCTCGAGCAATGAAAACTTTATTTGATGTTATAAATTCTCCACATTATAAAACTCGTAAATTTCAGATTAAAGTTTCATTTATTGAAATTTATAATGAAGATTTGATTGATCTGTTAGGTGAAGGTGAAGAAGAAAGTAGACCTCAAGTTACAATAAGAGAAGATTCTAAAGGTCATATTTTATGGAGTGGATTACAAGAAATGAAAGTCAATTCTGTTGATGAGGTTATCGGGTAAATCGATTAATAAAAATATATATATAAAAAAAAAAAAAAAGTTTTTGATGACATTGATTAATGACTTTTAAAATAATTTAATTGTAATAATTGTTAAAATATATATATATATTTTTTTTACTAGACATTTGTCAAGAGGTTCGTTGAATCGTCAAGTTGGTGCCACAGATATGAACCAGAAATCTTCTAGATCACATGCGATATTCTCTGTAACAATGATTCAATATAAGTTTTTGTCGTCCAACGGAGGTGGTAGCAGGTCAATGACACCTACACTTGGATTGGAAATATCTGAATCAAGATCTGGAATTAGACCTCCATCACGATCGAGTTCTAGATTAAGTAAAAGATCTGATGATGGTAGTGGTGAATGGATTGCTGTTACTAGTAAATTCCATTTTGTGGATTTGGCTGGTAGTGAAAGAGTATGTATTATTCTTTTATTTTTTTATTATGATTTATGATTATTAATTTACTAATTAATTACTAATTATGATTACATTGAATTATATTAGCTAAAAAGAACTGGAACTGTTGGGGATCGTGCTAAAGAAGGAATATCTATAAATTCCGGTCTTTTAGCATTAGGAAATGTTATCTCTGCTCTAGGTGACACTACCAAAGCTAAACATACAACACATATTCCATACCGAGATTCAAAATTGACACGTTTGTTACAAGACTCTCTTGGTGGAAATGCTCAAACATTAATGATTGCTTGTGTTTCAGGGGTAGAATTCAATCTTAATGAAACTGTTAACACTCTTAAATATGCAAACAGAGCTCGTAATATTAAAAATTCTGCTATTGTAAATCAAGAAGAAGCTGGTTGGAATGATATAGAACATTTACAAAGTTTAGTTGTTAAATTAAGAAATGAAATCAAAGCTCTTAAAGCTGCTGGTGTTTTGGTTTCTACAAATGGTGGAACATCAATAAATGGAAGTTATGGTGGTAATAGTACATCCGGTTCTGGAAGATCTACTCCATTAGGTATAAGTGGAAGAGAAACTCCAAGTTATCAAAGTCATTTACGACGTCCTTCAACTCCACTTTCAATAAATATGGCTGTTAGTAATGCTAATCCAAATCATAAAGACGTTGAAGTACTTGAAGAACAACTTTCTCAACTTCAACGATCGTACATAGAATTATCACAAAAATATGCAAAAACTTCTGCTGAACTTGCCGTACATCAAGATAATTCTGATGAACTTGGCGTAAAATCTTCATCTGTTAAAGTTCAACAAAATGAACCTAAATCAAAATCACCAATGAAACCTATAAAAGAAGAAAATATTTCGGCAAGTTTTCAGGAAGCTGTCGAACCTGTAATCGAAGAATATGAGAAATCAATATCCGCACTTGAAAGTCAACTTGCACTTACACGTGCTGCATTGACTCATTCTGAAAATACAATGCAAGAACAAGAACAAAAATTAAATTATGCTGAACAAGCTAATGAACAAAATAAATCTTTAATAAACGATTTAAGAAACAAAGTCGCTAGATTTAATGAACGTGAAACTACTACTGAACATTATATTAAAGATTTAGAATCTAAACTTGAATCTCAATCTATGGAACAACAGAAAGATCAAGATTTAATAAATGAATTAAAGAATAAAATCTCTCAATTAAAATCAAGTGGTAATAGTACTGAAGGTTATATTCAAAGTTTAGAATCTCGATTAGCTACAAGTGAAGAACAATTAACCAAATTTCGTCAGAATGTTGGAAATCTCGAAAGACGTCTCCAAGATCGTGAAGCTGCTTATCAAGATCTAGAAAATCGTATGAAACTTGTGGAAGTTGATGATAAAAAATTATTATTGAATGAAATTGATGATCGTGATAAAAGAATCACTCAACTTGAACAAAAAGTCGATTTACTCATTAAAGAATTGGACAGATTACGAGAATTTTCTAATTCTTCAATTGAAGAAATTGAAGGAATTGATTCTCATGAACGTTCTGTTTCAGAATTATCCACAACTTCAAATTATACTTTATCAACTTCAGGATCTATTACACCTCAATTAATTAGTGAGCAAGAGCGAATGAACGTTGTAACATTGGAAGCAAGACTTTCTGAATTACAAAAAACTCATGAAAATACCGTAAAAGATTTTAATGAAATGAAAGACAAATATCAAGCATGTGTTGCTGAAATAAATGACCTTCGCGCACAATTAACTGAAAGAGAAGATAGCTTTAAATCAACTTCTTCAACACCTATTACACCGATGTCACCTACTAACTCGAATTCTTTTAGATTTTCACTTCCACCATCTGTACGCTCTAATGAATTAAGTAAAGAAGCTCTTCATAAATCACTAGATGTTTCTAAACGTGTTTTTCACAGAAAAGCTAGATCACTTTCAGAAATCAAAGGTCCCGAGAAACGTGATCCGATCCATCTTGCTATAATGCAAAAACTAAACACTGATCTTAAACAACTTTCTTCACTTCGTGATGATAAAGATCAAGGTTTAGTTACTATTAAACAAGAATTTGCTCGTTTAGAAATGTGTTATCGTGAAACTCTTGAACTTGTTGAAGAGTTACGTGAAGAGATTAAGAGACGTGACGCGTTAGCTCAATTAGAAGTTATGTCTGTTGTAACTTCAGATCATACTTATACTGAAGGTTATTCTCCTTCCATGAGTGAAGTTGATAAACTTGATATTGTTCAACGACTTCGTGAAGAAGTTGAACAACTTAAAGAAGAACAGAGATTAGAAATGGAATTTCTTACTGAACATAAGAAAGACAGAGAAAATGTTGACCAAGTTTCAAGAATTGAATCAAATGAACCGGATAAACAATTAATCAATACTCAAGGATATCATGATGATTCAAGACCAGGAGAAAACGCTGATGCTTCAAAATCAGAGAATGAAGATGATGAATTTTTGTCACATCAACGACATATTGAAAAACTTCAAGTTGAAATTGAATCGAAAAGTCATACCATTGCTGCACTTTTACTTCCTACTGAGTATCAAAATACTATTCGTCGTCTTGAAGATGAACTTCAAGAAGTTAAAGAAGCTCATCGTATAGCAATGAAAGAAAAATACGGTAAATTAAATATCACAATTGAGGCCGTTGAAGATAATGTCGACCGATCCATTTCTCCAAGATTCACCTCTGACGCGACATCATCTGATAAACTTGAACAAAATGTTGATGAAAATGTTATGGAGTTAGAAGATAAAGTTAAAGAATTAGAAATTCAATTAACAAAAGCAAAAGAAGCTCAACAACATATTCCAACACCAAATAATTCTTGGCTTACTATGATTGATCCTGCACAAAAATCTGTAAACACAATTCAAACAAAACTTTCAGATTTACAACGTGATCTTGCTAATAAATCTGATAATGGTCAAGATTTAAAAGTTGAACAAGAATTAGTTTCTTCTATACAAGTTCAATTAGAAACACTTATTGCTGACATTAAACGAAAGTATGAACTTATAGATAATTTGAAACGAGATTTAGTTGATAAAGGTACAATGCAACAAAAATTTAAAGAGAAGGAAGCGGAGGCTTCAGTGCTTAAAGTTCAATTAATACAATTTGAAGAACGTAATAAAGTTCTTATGGCAGAGATTGAAGAACTTCAAACTCGAATACGTAATCTTGACCCTAGTAACAGTTCAGGAGAACTTTTACAAGAACTCAAAGATGCAAAAGAAAGAGAATCTCTCACATTAAATCGTTTAAAAACTTTAAAATCTGAAGAAGAAAATCTTCGAAAAGATATAGAACATTTGCAACAAACTGAAATTGTACAACGTGAAAAAATTACTGTATTAGAAGCTCGATTAATTGAAAAGGGTTCCGTGGTTGATGAAAATATAATTAAAATAAGAACAGAATTAGCCTTGGCTAAAGAAGCCGAAATTGTTAATAATCGGACTATAACGGATCTTGAATCTAAATTAAATAATTCTACATTGGAAACTGTTTCATCAAAGGACACTGATTCACTAACTACTATGAAAGATGAACTCTCAGAAGCAAAAGCAACTGATTCGTATCTTCGTAAAACTATTCAAGAGTTAGAAATTAAACTTTCAACAGCAGAAAAACAATCAACTAATTTACAATCATTAAAAGAAGAAATTACAATATCAAAAAATTTGGAAGACGAACAGAAATCCATAATTGAACAATTACAAGTACAAATTCAAGAAATGCAAGAGTCTAAAGAGGAAGCTGTTAAAGAGTTGCAAAACTTTAAAGGTGATTTCGAAGCTCAAAAGGATCATATAGAAAAACAATCTGAACTTTTAAAAGAATTACAATCAGAACTTGAACAAGCTAAAGTTCAAAAGGATCATATGGAAAAACAATCTGAACTTTTAAAAGAATTACAATCAGAACTTGAACAAGCGAAAGCTCAAAAGGATCACATGGAAAAACAATCTGAACTTTTAAAAGAATTACAATCAGAACTTGAACAAGCTAAAACTCATATAAATAAACAAGAAGAGCTTATTAAAACTTTGGAATCCAAACTCCAACATACTGAAAGTCAAAGAGATGACACGATCTCTAAACTCGAGGTGGCTAATGAAGAAATTAAAAGTCTCAAGGATCAATGTTCAAGGTTACAAAATGAAATCAATGAAGTGCATAAAGACTCACAAAATATTAGTGCTGTTGACAGTAAAATGATAGAAGATCTTACCGACCAATTAAAGAGAATTCAAAACGAATCATCGACTTATAAAGAGCGTGTTCAAGAACTTGAAAATACAACACAACAACTTCGATCAAGTAATGATGAATATCTTGAAATAAATAATGAACTTAATAGCCAAATTGCGCGATTGCAGAGAGAACTTGAAACACTTGCAGAAGAATTTGCCGAAGCTGGTATCAAATTTGAGGATTCTGAAGCTATATTACAAGAACAAAAGAATCGTATTTCTTATTTGGAAGAAACTCTTGAAAAAGTTAGCAATCAAAAAGGTGATTCTTTCAGTAAAATGGATATTAATTCTTCAAGTACTACTGCTGCTGGTCTTGCTCAATTAGCTGCCGAAAATGAGCTTTTAAGGCACACAAATGATGATTTGAACACCAAGATTTCTGAAGCGGAAGATCAAATGTTATCATTGAACGAAAGGATAATGACTTTACAGCGTGAACTTGAGAACGCAAAGTCTCCGAATAAAAATGAACAAAATATAGAATCCGTTGATACATTAAAAGAAAAGATTTGTGAACTTGAAATGGAAAAACAAGCATTGGAACAAGCAAACACAACATTTTTAGAAGATCGTAAAAAGCTTGATCAAAGGATAGAATCTTTAACGCAACAACTTACATCAGCGGGTAAAAGTGGAAATAAGACCGCAGCTCAACTCGCGGACCTTAACGGAAAGATTTCATCTTTGGAAAATGAAGTAGGGCAAGAGAGACAAAAATCACGAGAAGAAATTTCAGTAATGGAAAAGGAAATGATGCGACTATTAGAAATCAATGAACAATTAATGCAAGGAAAAAATGATGCAGCATTACGATCACCTAAATCTCCAAATGATGACAATTTCTCTAGAGATCGAACAGATTCGTTGGATTCAGGATATATATCTGGAAGCACGCGTTCATTAAACAATACAGATAATGTCCTTCAAAATAAATTTTTACAACAAGAAAGTACGATCACTCAACAAAATGATCTTATCAAATCTCTTCAAGACAAAATAGAAGAACTTGAACGACGATCACTCAATCTTGGAAGACCAGTCTCTGCAGAGCTTGATGCTGTAGGAGGGTCAACAATTCCTTCAGATTCTAAAAAGAATTCAATACGATATTCGGATCTCAAAACTCCACCAGCTCCGCCACCAACTCAACCACTACCTCCAACACCAAATAGTCCTCCAGCGCCTCCTCGGTCCTCACTTCCTCCTCGAGAATCTCTTACAGGACAAGATCTAACTCTAGAAATTCAAAGACTTAATAAGAAAATCGTGGTTATTGAAGGAGAAAATCTTCAAAATAGTCAACTCGTTGATACTCTTGAAGAATCCCTTAATGACACAGAAAAAAATCTTCAAATTGCTAAGCAAGAATTACAAGTACTACAACATGAAAAATTAGATCTTGTAAATCAAGTAAAGAATCTGAAAAACCAATTAGAAGATGCAACTATACACTTTGAAAAAACAAGATCTAGTGTTCAACAAGAAAAGAAAGCTATCGAGTCAGTATTGGAAGAAGAAAGGCGTGCAAAGGAATCGGCAGAAAGAGCTAGACGACAACTGGAAAATCAAATGGAACAGCTTATGGCAAAGAGAAGCAAATTCATGTGTTTCTAAAAAATTTGATTTAATCATCATTGATACACTTGATATAATTGATACATTTTGTTAAATAATTACGGTCTTTACATATTAGTTTGTTGTTTTAAACATATTTTATTTATTGGTTTAGTTTATTCTCTCTCTAGTACATTAGTATTAACCAAAAATTATCACCCTCCTTATAAATTTAATGTTTTTATTACGATTACATATATACACATTTACACTTCACTATACATAATCATATATATACCATTCATTTTTTTGTATTATTAGTTTTTTTTTCGGTTTATTTTTTTTTTTTACTTTTCCTTTTTTTAAAAAAAAAGGACCTCTGAGAGGTTTTTGGAATTACTTTATATAGATAAAAAAGATTGCGATTTAAATGTATGATTACTACGTAATAAATATTCGCAAACTACGATGTTTAAAATGTAATTATTGAACTTTCCTATCGATATTATGTTTAAACTAGATAATAAAGCATGGTCAATTTCTTAAATTTCGGTGTTAAGTTGGGTTCGGACCGGTCCGATCCTTGTATCTTCCTGCGTAAAATTGAGTCCTAAATCGTTTGGATAAGTTTATCCAATAAAAATGATACTTTATTGTCAACGAAAGCAGTCCCTAAACTTTTGAATTCAAAAATCAAAGTCCCATATAAGATCACATGATTAAGGATCAAATCTTTACCAAAAGCCGATTATACTAAACTTGCGCCGGGATTTTAAAGTTGAAATTTAATTTAATAATTTTAATATACAAGTCCGAATTTATAAATTTTAATACAATATAAGATAAGATGTTAGTGTCACCAAAATACGTATACGTAACCTAAAAATGTATCGACATAGCCCTGGAATCTGTGCAATACGTAATTTAAGATTTTTCTAGTCGTTTTGGCGATACTATTTTTAGTAAAAACATCATGTCATATATATATCTTTTTTTAATTTCATTTAATATACGTATCATTTTCAGGGGCTAACCGATACGTTTTTATACAAAAAAAACAAATTTAATTATGTGTAAAATTGCTTTAACCTAAATGATTATTTTTTAAAAAAATATAGTTTAACAAAAATCTTAACATATATAGCTTTATTTAAATAAGGAGTTCGTAGCAATTTGATTTATTTTTTAGGTTAAGATTTAGGGGTAGTATTACTAATAATAGTACTGTAAACTACACTCCCTATTATTATTTGTACCCGGGGGCAAAGATTTCTCTTATACAATATTTCTAATTTTGAAGATTAGCAAATCGAAATGAGAAAATTACCCTGGATGCATCTCCGATCATGGTGATGGAAGTCTAGATTTGACAATCATTTATGCATACAGTTTTTTATCGGATCTTTATAGTGCAATAATTATTAATAAATTTTTAACAGGTTTCGCATACCAGTTTCATACACCCCTATCAATAACGTACCCCACATAATAAATATTAATTAGTAAATAGTTAAAAGAAAGCCCGTTCTTGATAGGGGTATACGAAATTGATATGCGAAACCTGTGAGATTAAATCTATTAATTTACCATAAAAGCATAATTTTAAAAATCTGACCAGTAACTTTGTTCCTTATAAAATATTGCATTTATAAAAAGTTAATATATTTGAAGATTTGTTACTTGTATAGTTATATGGGATCTTTGCTAGGAAGATCACCATTCGACATTTTCCGATCGGACTAAACAAACATATCAGTACGTACATTTATTGATTCAAAAGTTTATTCATTAATAAAGGCAAAAAAAAAGACTTACATGTGAATAAGAACCAGTATGATCAGAAAATGTTGATGATTTTCCTAGCAAGGATTCAATATAATTATCAAGTATAGACTAACTATTCCAATATAATTATCAAGTATAGATAACTATTTCAAGAATCTAAAAAAGTCTTTGAACACCTGTCATTCATATAATTTTCATCCACTAATTATACCAATAAGTAAATACGTATATAGTAATATGGATCACAGGGTTGGCAAATGACCTTTAAATGATCTAGATAACCTGATGACTAGTCATTTGTCATTTGGTCATTTTACATTTAATGGCTCATGACCATTGATAACATTATAAAAAATTGACAAATACCTAAGTTATAGCGATAGAGCAATTAAATAACTAAATGACAAATGATTAGTCATTTAGTCATCTGTCGTCTTGATCATCAGAATTTTTGAGTGACCAGGTCATTTGCCAACTCTATAGATCTGCCGACAAGTTTTTAAGTTACAATAACCTTAACTTCAATTCTAACCTGACCCTAATGAATGATGACCAAATTACTTTGTTGGTGAAATGAACTTGTCGCTGAAATAAACATGCTGGTAAATTGATCGCAGTAATATAATTATAGATCTTATCATCACTTCTGATACATTATATTTTATAAAATAAATTAAAAAGTTTATTAATAATATTAAGGGTAGGGGGTAACGTAGATCATTTTTATATAGAAATGTATGGTATTTTAAATTTTTCATATAAAATTGATATATGTTACTAATAAAACTTTTTTATTTTTTAATTAATCAATAAAAAAATTTTATAATATTATAAATAAAATTATTTATTTATTATAGAAGTATTGTATTATTTTAAAAAAATATACTTGTATATATAACAAAGTTTTCCGGAGTCCCCAAAATTCGGTAAGGTTACACAAAATTATTAGATTTGATTGGTTAATTTATATAACCCTATAAGTTAACTTAATTAATAAATTTTTATATCTAATCTTTAAAAAGTTATATCTTACTGAGTTTTTATTTAATATTAATGATTTTACTATTACTAGAATTAGAAAAACCTACTCTAAATCTTTTTTATAAATTAAAATTAGTTTACTTAATGTAATTTTTTATAAAATTAAATATAAAAAAAATTTACTATTAGGTTTATATATAATTTTAAAATACTATTTCATACCCTTAAATTTTTTAAAATTAAAATCCTATTAAATGAACTTCTTATTTTATATATTCTACATAAATGCTATCATTCATGTTTACCTATTTGTCACTAATGCAACCAAATTAGTTTATACCTCTACTGGACAACTTGTTCATCTAACCAACTATTATTTAGCCTTATTGATATCTCATTACAATATGCCCTTAACTTAAATACACTTGATACTATATTTAATACTATAACAAATTTATACCACTAAATCAAACTATTTAACAGCATATTTATTATAATAGATTTAATGTATTATCAATTTTCTCAACTCTAATAGGCTTAATACCAAATAAACATATTAATATTATTGCAAATTTGTCTTTCAAAAAAGTAGCTACTATGCTTTCTATAAAGTTTTTTTTTAATATTAATGATAGGGCCATGTCTTCATCTTTATTGAATATTTAATTAAGATTTTATATAAAGTACAATTTTGCTTTTAAAATATTATAGAAAAAAATAGAAGTTCAGACTAATTTATCTGTAATCTAAACCAACCAGAGTGACCAAGGCTTATCTAGATTTGAGTATTAGTAATTATGTGTAAAAGATTAGTTTGATATTTAATCTATTAGATATACAAAAAGTTATTTTTGAACAAATAGAATTGAGTGAAAGAGAGTGTGATAGAAGTGAGACAGCATTTGAAGGTGTGTTATATTTAGGAAGTTGGGCTGTAGATCTTGAGATACAATATAAAATTCAGATTTTGTAATAAATTTGTTGATTAAGATGAAGTAAGAACTTAATTACAAGTGTTATAACTATTCTTTTGGATGACAAAATTGCAATAATGTTAATAAGTTCATTTGGTATTAGAACTGTTAGAGTTGAGAAGATTAAAGGTAGGTCTGATATACTGTAAATAGTTATACTATTCAACAGCTTGATTTGGTTGTGCAAATTGGTTATAGTATTTGATGTAGTATCAAGTATTTTAGTATTTAAAGTATATTGTAATAAAATATTAATGAGACTGTATAACTGTTGATTAGATGAAAAAGTTGTTCAGTGAAGATAAGAACTAATTTGGTGATAGTGATAACAAATAGATGAGTATGAGTGATATCATTTGTGTAGAATATGTGAAGTAGGAAGATCATCTAGTAGAATTTTAATTCTAAAGAATTTAAGAATTAAGGACTGAAAGCTGTATAAGAAGTTTGAGATTTTTTGATTGTTGTTGATATATAGCCAGGTAGCTTGCCAATTAACTTGGTTAAGAATTTTGTGTCATTTTTGA